CTGGGCATGACGAAGCGGATATCGTCCTCTTTTGGAAGGCCAAACAAAGTAGATTTGCCTTCATAACGAAACACACAGTGCCTTCACGACATGGCGGCGGCAACAACAATACTACAGCGAGAATAAAAGTTACGCCTTCTTTCTTTGCGTGAACATTTGGGCGGCGTTATGCAAATCTTCCCACATAGTGATGTAGATATGTGGGGGCGTGTTAGAACGAGCCGTTTTAGGTAGGTGCGGTTGACTCTTAACTTTTATAAAGAATATCTCTTTGGATTTGAGACTTTAGTCTTTGCAACTTTACAGATCTTCTTTATGCACCAAGAGCTTGTAACACTCAAAAGAGAAAGGAACCAGCTCTCTGACCCTCCCATAGACCTTTAAATACACAAAGTCATGGCATTAAATATATAAACATTATGAAATGGGGTTTTCCCTTTGAATTAAGCACATTAAGTCAGATATTTGTTCTTTTTTCCTAAACTTACTTCATTTTGATCAAACAAACCTTTTATATCTCATCTTTGAGTTTTTAGACATTTTTATATTTAAAGTGCGTGTGTAAAAATGAATAAAAAAGTCATGGATATCAGTTGGATGTTGTATTTTCAAACCTTAGACATTTAGATAATATATTGACATATTGTGTCCCCTTCGGTTTATTCCTTATATTTTCTTTAATTGGTCTGAAGAAGGTGTTTTTAAGAAGTCTTACATTTAAATCAGCTCAGGTGAACCTATCTAAGCAAAGTCAGCATGCCATAATCAACATTTCAAAACTAAACCGTTGCCATGGTCACCATAGAATTTTTCGTTGGCGGGAGATCCCACCCAAAGTAAAAAAAACTAAAATGAAATCCTCTGTTGTCAAGGCAACGTTTGGCAACAAGCCGGTCGCGGTGCTGACCACTTCCGGTTTGTGGAGGAGCGACACAACAAATCGGTGAGTGTATTTTGCATCTATGAAAGTTATGTACATGCCTTTTGAGTTTAAATTACGAACTATTTTGTTTGACAGAAACGCGTTTTAATGCATTTATGAATTATTAGTGTAGACTAAATGGCTTTTTAAAAATGTCTTTCAGTTTTCCGTAGAACATCAGATACAATTCAGTCGATTTTCCGCAATAAAATGTCTGATTTAGCGAAAGAGAAAGCAGCACGTCTGCTGAAGAAGCGTGGAAGCTTGTCTTCTCTGGGCAGTCATGAAGTCAGAGCTAAAGAAGCCTTTGCCAAAACTAAGGAGTGAGTTACTGTCGTTCCTTAACATCTACCAACACCCCCAGTAAAATAACAACAAAGAAAGGTGTAAATATGAGGATGAGGAAGGATCAGTGTATATGAGGAAGGATCATTTGTGTGTGTCCTTAGCTCTATCAGCACAGTGTCCTACATGGAGGAGCCTGGACATCATGATGATATTGCACGGCCTGCGGTGCAGATGGAGAACACCTATCAGCTCAGTGAGTCTCTTCTCCTTCACTGTTACAGAGAAGCTGATCTCACGGAGGAAACAATACAAAATCATTACCAAAGAACCACCAACATCATTTCACAGGAAAGATAATATCATGTGGGTTATGCATTACATTTAAAGTCCTCACTGCATATGCCAATATAGTACAATGTGAATTGTATGTACAATGAAGAGAACACTTTCTGTACTCTGGAATTGCATTAAGAAATATTTTTAATATCCTTCATTTTTTTCTGTTCTTTAATCAAAATTTTGCAAGCAAAACATGTTTTTCCTAGAAATATATTATATGAAGTATATAACAATATTATATTGTTTTAATTGGCTATTCACTTGTAGAATTTTCCTGTGCCTTCAGTTTCACTTTCCATTCTGTTAGTCTTTAGAAATTACTCTTTAACAAACAAAAGCCAACTACTGAATTAACATTATACAGGTAGTTATTGATCATGTCGGCTGGCAAAACAACAGCTTAAACATCAGTATTAGAATTGTGAATTTTTTATGCTTTTTTTTTTATCAGCTTGGTAACACTTTACAATTTATGCTGTGGCGCCTGGGGAGCAGTTGGGGGTTCGGTGCCTTGTTTGTTAACTCCATTAGTTGACAAACTAACAATGAAAAATACTTCTAAAGCGTTTATTATTATTGATTCCAGCATTTACTAATACATTATTAAATTCACAAGTTGTATCTATTAATGTTATTTAACGGACCTGACCCTCATGACCTCAGACTGTGCTGCGTGGTATTCGTTTTATATAAGTAAATGTTTGCACAGGCCCCGCACAACGTTTCCCGGTGTTAACAGTGAAGGACATTCTGAAGGATGTGTTGACCAGCTACTTGCAGGAGGAGAAATATGAACCGGAGCTGTGCAGACAGATGACCAAAACCATCTCTGAGGTCAGCTGACCTTCACACGCTCATTACATAGATTTTTTTCTAAATCATAATAAATACACTGAACAAAATTATAAACGCAACACTTGTTTTTGCCCCCATTTTTCATGAGCTGAACTCAAAGATCTAAGACTTTTTCTATGTACATAAAAGGCCTATTTCTCGCAAATATTGTTCACAAATCTGTCTAAATCTGTGTTAGTGAGCACTTCTCCTTTGCCGAGATAATCCATCCACCTCACAGGTGTGGCATATCAAGATGGTGATTAGACAGCATGATTATTGCACAGGTGTGCCTTAGGCTGGCCACAATAAAAGGCCACTCTAAAATGTGCAGTTTTACTGTATTGGGGGGTCCGGGAGGGTCCGAAAACCAGTCAGTATCTGGTGTGACCACCATTTGCCTCACGCAGTGCAACATCTCCTTCGCATAGAGTTGATCAGGTTCTTGATTGTGGCCTGTGGAATGTTGGTTGTGGCTGTGCGAAGTTGCTGGATATTGGCAGGTACGGGTTGATATTCAGCTGACCAATCAGCAGAAAGGGGCATTTAATTCCCGCCCACAAGTAGAAATCAAATATTCAAACTCTTTATTCATTTTTCCACCCATGAACGAAAAACGAAAATTTGAGCTGAATTCTCGTTTTTCGTTTTTTGGAAAAAAAAACAAAAAAACGAAAAAGGATCAGTTTTCTCATTTTTCTGCTTTCAATATTAAATCAAAAACCGAATGATTGAATGATACACGGATTGAACAGACTGCTGACTGTGTATTTTATATATATACAGTGGGTACGGAAAGTATTCAGACCCCCTTAAATTTTTCACTCTTTGTTATATTGCAGCCATTTGCTAAAATCATTTAAGTTAATTTTTTTTCCTCATTAATGTACACACAGCACCCCATATTGACAGAAAAACACAGAATTGTTGACATTTTTGCAAATTTATTAAAAAAGAAAAACTGAAATAACACATGGTCCTAAGTATTCAGTCCCTTTGCTCAGTATTTAGTAGAAGCACCCTTTCATACATATGTATGTATATATATATATATATAAATATATAGTTAGATATTTCTATTTCAAGCTAGTTTTGCACTCGTGTTAATTCTACGTTCTTGCTAATGATGAGATTTGTGACGGCTTCAAATGAAATGTTGGCCAGAAGTGGAATTATTGCCCATATTAATGCCTACTATTTAATGTTTATATTATGGAAGCACATTTTGGACACAATTTAAATACCATTGTCTTTAAGAAAACGTTTTACCTCATATAAACAATTGAAAATATGAATCCCTTCCCATACACTGACTTGAAATGTCTTCATTTTAATACCTCATTGTGTGTCATACCTCACAGTAAGTCAATAAATCTGAATGTCTATTGTCAATAATTTGTTTACTATTACTGATTTGTTTTGAGAACTTAAAAGTATTTTCTTATATAAGTATTTTCAACTGTTATTGTTTGGTAATTCATTACTGGACAATATATTCATTTAATCAGTTTAGCTATACACACACAGGTGTATATTTGTTAACACAATATAGTTTTAAATCATGTTTTGTTTAACAGAAAATAACTGCTACAGAAGTCTATGAAAATATGATTTAAAATATTTTAAATGAAGATAAATTGAACATTTCAGCAAAATCATACCATTGCTATTAAGTAAAATATCAAACTATTATTTTGCTGGGAAAAAAAACATTTACTCACATTTACACAGTCATCAGTTAACACTTTTTACTAATATGCAAATATAAAAAATAACAAATAAAACAAAATAAATAAAAATAGACAAAATAGTGTTATACTTGAAAGACCAACAAAATAACATTAGCTACATCTTTTAGCTTCAGTCTTAACTATGTTCATTTAACTTTAAATTAACATTAACATAACGTTAAAATCTTCTTTTGTGTTCCACAAAAGATGGAATGTCATGCAATACTGGTTTGATATGACTGTGCATGAATAATGGCAGCATATTAAGACAGAAAAAAGTGTGAATTCGAATGAAAAAATATATATATTTAAAAGAAATTTACCCAGTTGTCCCTGCTGTTCTTGATGGGACAGAGATGCTGAGGATCCTAAGTCAAGCAAAAATCCTGCATAGAGTGTCTCGGTGAAAGTGCAGTGAAATATGTGTGTTAGAGACGCTGTAGAAAGACAGACTGGTGCCCAGCCAGTCTACAAACAGGCCGACTCTATTAGATGTAGATGAAGGGGCAGGTACGTCGGTTCTCTTATTATTATGACAGGCAGTAAATCTGTTATCAGAGTTGAACAGAATCCATGACTTTTCATTGAGTCCAAACCAACATTCTCTTCCTCCTTTCCTGCTGATTCCTTTATACGACACTGCTATAACCGCCTGTCCGCTCCATTCAGCCTCCCAGTAACAGTGTCCAGACTCTACTCAGAACCTGCTCAAAGTTCTCAAATCTCTGGATGGTCAGGATACAATTGCTTCTCTTTCACATATGTCACTTTTGTGTTGCCCTCAGACAGGATGAGTATGCAAATCATGTGTGCTGTGTTTGGATCCAATGTGAGATCACATGACTCTGCATACAAGAAGGTATATGGGAACATTAATTAAACATATTTAAAACGGGTGTGAAAAAATGTTTGTGACTGAGTGAGTACCTACATTTCCATAGTCCTGGTGTGATTCTGATCTGTTCTCTCTGTTCCAAACTATAAAGACATAAACATAAATTCAATTTAAACTAAACTGAACTCGTTGAAACAAAATTATTTTAAACGGGTCATGTGATGTGATTTCAATTGTTCCTTTCTCTTTGGAGTGTTACAAGCTCTTGGTGCATAAAGAAGATCTGTAAAGTTGCAAAGACTAAAGTCTCAAATCCAAAGAGATATTCTTTATAAAAGTTAAGAGTCAGCCACGCCTACCTAAAACGGCTCGTTCTAACACGCCCCCACATACCTACATCACTGGGAAAATTTACATAACGCCGCCCAAATGTTCACGCAAAGAAAGAAGGCGTAACTTTTATTCTCGCTGTAGTATTGTTGTTGCCGCCACCATGTAGTGAAGAGCTGTGTGCTTCGTTGTGAAAGTGAAACTACTTTGTTTGGTCTTCCAAAAGAGGACGATATCCACTTCGTCATGCTAGAGCTGATCTGTCCTGGTCGCTGAGGAAATACATCATCGCTCATTATCCAGCAGAAGACGGGTATGTGACACATGATGTGGAGGCTTCTTGATCTTCTAATGTGTGAGACGATTCTGTTGGCTTGATGCTCATCACTGATTCTCTTCCGGAAATATTCTTCCTTCTGAGAGTCATTGAATCCCTGAATTTCAGTCACACGGCTGATATAGTTAGAGGGGATCTGATGAGGTGATCCAGATAAGAGCAGAGGGAAGCAGCTCTCCTTTCATCAGGTTTGACATCAGAACACCCACTGATGAAAACTCATTCACATCAGAAATTTTCTCAAGTGTCTAAAAAGAGCGAAATTCTACTTTCAAAGATTAACACCACTTTACTCTGAGCATAAATCTTGGAGACCAGATACTGAAGCTCAGATAGTGAAGACTATACCACTGCTCTTTAAAGGGGTCATATGATGCTGCTAAAAAGA